TGTCCCTGGCATCGCTCGGACGTGTGCATTTTTTCTCGGCGAGGGCCATCGAGGAGCACACTGGGCCATTTTGCGACCACGCACGAAACCGAGAAATGCACGGGAAATGGACGTCCGCGCGATGGCAGGTGTCTCCGTCGATCATGAGAAATCCAGGCCTCCGCAAAGCAAGAGCACGTGCCAGACTGCACTAGCGTGTGGGAAAGCGGCTGTTGCCTGAAACGGGCCCTGGACCCCGGAGCTTTCCCCCAGAGATTGGCGTGTCATCCCGATATGTTTTTTGTTGACGGTCGCGGGGCCTGGGAAGGGTTGCCCCAGTGAGCCCGACAGCAACGAAACATCTCCATGATCCCGTTGCTCCAGGACCCCTTTTCTAAGCAGCGACCTTGAAATCACGCCCCTTGGATCTCTCCTGGGGTGCGTTCTGGCCAGAGCTTCGAGGGGAGTCTGGCCGTGGCCACCGAGAGCGTTCTCTGCGGAGGACCATCCAGGAGCATCCTGGATCGTGGTGCGAGAAAACGAGCGCACGAAACCGACAAACGCACGGGGAATGGACGTCCGAGCGATTCCGAGCCGAGGGCCGCATGCCCCCCTCGTCAGCAAGCGCGCAAGGGGGTGGCGCGAGAGGGGGGGGCGCCGTCGCAGAAGGCAAGGCGGGCTTCTCGGAAGGCAGTGGGCTTCTCGGAAGGCAGGGGCCTTCTCTGCGGGCAAGACTCGGGTCCGCGTCTACTGCAGCTTGGAGTTTCGGGCTCCCTTCCCCAGAAACCCAAGGCGCACTGGATGTGGACAAACAGCTGGCTCCTCGAGGCTCGCTACGTATCCACATCCAGAGCGCCTCTGCCTCGCGGCGCCCCTTCCAAGAAAGTGCAAGACGCACTGGGCATGGATATCCATATTGCCCGCAATCGCAGAATCGCCTGGGGGTTTCTACGAAGGAAGCCTCTGGTTGGTTCCAAGAGGGCCCCTGCCTTCTAAGAGGCCCCCCTGACTTCTCAGAAGGCCATCCCCCTCCCCCTCGCGCCACCCCTTTTGGCGCGCCGCCAACCCTCTCCCCGCCTCCGTGGTGCTCGTTTGCCCTTGCGCAACAAGTTCAGGCCAGCCCGCGCGGCGAGCGGCCTCTGTTCCACATGGGCCGTCTGTTCCGCATGGGCCGCGCGGCGAGCGTTGCCCAATGAGTACGCGCCCTCTGTTCCACATGGTGTGCCGCGCCAGCGGTTGGCGTAAGCTCGCCGCGCCGTCTGGCGCGGGATCTCAACGGATCGGGAGCGTGGGCAGGACGATTAATTTCAGAGCGATCGATGCGAGACGCTCCGATTCGGAGTGTAAGTGCTTACTCTGGGGTAGCGTAAGAGTGCAGACAGTGCTGTCGATGACTCGGCTACGCAACTGACATGTAAGGCTTGGATGGCCTTAAGGGTTTAGGGTTTAGGGTTCCATGTGTGGTGGCAAGGGTGAGAGACCATCGGGCCCCTTGCCCTAGGGCCGTAGGCCCTAGGGCTAAGGATCTTGATTGATTAAGATTAACGATTGCTGGCGCGCGGCGGCTGTGGGGGGCTGGGGGCTAAGGATCTTGATTGATTAAGATTAACGATTGCTGGCGCGCGGCGGCCGTGGGGGGCTGGGGGCTAAGGATCTGATTGATTAAGATAACGATTGCTGGCGCGCGGCGGCTGTGGGGGGCTGGGGGCTAAGGATCTTGATTGATTAAGATTAACGATTGCTGGCGCGCGGCGGCTGTGGGGGGCTGGGGGCTAAGGATCTTGATTGATTAAGATAACGATTGCTGGCGCGCGGCGGCCGTGGGGGGCTGGGGGCTAAGGATCTTGATTGATTAAGATTAACGATTGCTGGCGCGCGGCGGCTGTGGGGGGCTGGGGGCTAAGGATCTTGATTGATTAAGATTAACGATTGCTGGCGCGCGGCGGCTGTGGGGGGCTGGGGGCTAAGGATCTTGATTGATTAAGATTAACGATTGCTGGCGCGCGGCGGCCGTGGGGGGCTGGGGGCTAAGGATCTTGATTGATTAAGATTAACGATTGCTGGCGTGCGGGCGAGTGTGTGGTGGCAAGGGTTAGATACCATGAACCCTAAACCCTAAACCCTAAACCCTAAACCCTAAACCCTGGGCCGACCCCTCTTTAGTGTTACAGCGAAGCGCCGAGGGGTCGGCCCTGTCCAGTCAGGCGGCCCGTTGCTGAACTTCACTGATGCGTGATCGCTTCAGCTGTCGATGGCCTCCGCTACTAGGCACAACCCAAAGGAGTTGTATTAAAGAAAGGCGGGCGGGCGGGCGCCGCCGCGGCGCCGCCGCGGCGCCCGCCGCGGCGCCCGCCGCGGCGCCCGCCCGCTCGCCACCGCACGCCAGCAATCGTTAATCTTAATCAATCAAGATCCTTAGCCCCCAGCCCCCCACGGCCGCCGCGCGCCAGCAATCGTTAATCTTAATCAATCAAGATCCTTAGCCCCCAGCCCCCCACAGCCGCCGCGCGCCAGCAATCGTTAATCTTAATCAATCAAGATCCTTGGCCCCCAGCCCCCCACAGCCGCCGCGCGCCAGCAACCGTTAATCTTAATCAATCAAGATCCTTAGCCCCCAGCCCCCCACAGCCGCCGCGCGCCAGCAATCGTTAATCTTAATCAATCAAGATCCTTAGCCCCCAGCCCCCCACAGCCGCCGCGCGAACAGCAATCGCTTAATCTTATCAATCAAGATACTTCGCCTAGGGCCTAACGGCCCTAGGGCAAGGGGCTGACGAGGTGTCATCTGACCCTTGCGAACCAACAACAGGAACCTTAAGAACCAAACCCTAAACCCTAAACCCTAAACCCTAAACCCTACACCCTAAACCCTAAACCCTAAACCCTAAACCCTAAACCCTAAACCCTAAACCCTAAACCCTAAACCCTGGGCCGACCCCTCTTTAGTGTTACAGCGAAGCGCCGAGGGGTCGGCCCTGTCCAGTCAGGCGGCCCGTTGCTGAACTTCACTGATGCGTGATCGCTTCAGCTGTAGATGGCCTCCGCTACTAGACACAACCCAAAGGAGGTATTTAAAGAAAGGCGGGCGGGCCGGGCGCCGCCGCTGGCGC